TAAAGTCCTTCAAAATGTGAAAACATTCTGCTTCAGCATAACCAATATTTCATCATCTTCATTGAAGTTAAATCTATTTGGGACTGCATTATTTAAGAAATTAAGATAATTAAGTCATCAGTGTTAAGATTAGAATCGTGAATCATGTTCTATTTTGGGGGAAATAAGCTTAGAAACAACTTCATTGTGTAAACGTGATTGCTTGGAGACAGTTTAAGTATCAATGTATAAACAATCGGTATACCAATTATAAAATTTAGTCATCAAAAGCACTGTCCCAAGCAAGTTTTCTTAATAATGTGTTTGCTTACAGATGGTTTATGTGTTCCCTGGTTTATGGTGGATTTCAGTCTGCGATATAGAAGTAAAAATACCTTATATGTTAGATGATATTTTATAATATGTCATACTTAAGCTTTTAATACATCTGCCTCTAATTAGCCTCAAACACTAATTTTTTTAGATCTATTACTCTGAAATAATTTTGAAAAGATTATTTTTAAAGAGGAAAATAGACATAAGTAGAGGAGAGGTTTTTTTGTTTTGTTTTTTAGGGAACCAATTAACTTTGTTAATGTTATATAAAATTTACTCATGCATAATCCTCGATTAATAAAAAAAATCAGGTAGAAAGATAGGACTGTCTCTCTTGTTACTTAAGGATTTCAGTGTTGATGCTATCAAATAACTCAACTGAACCTGACTAATGGCAGTATCTTTGGGGCAGCTGGTTTTGGTCACCTGAACATTGAGATACTCTTCCTATTCTTTTCTTATTCTTATCCTTGACTATTCCACCCTGATCCCCATATGTTTTAATGTACTCGTTTGTTACCATATTTCAGTATTTTTGAAGCACCCATTGTGGAGGTAAGTATACAAAAACAGTATTAAAGATTGTCTCCTTTTTCATCAGGCATATTTACACCCATAATTTTTTGTTCAATTGTCCCTTCTGTCTTCTTTTGGATTAGTCAAATGTATTCTGTTATCCTCTCTTATCTCCCCTATTTTCTTAAATTTTTTTTTTCAACGTTTATTTATTTTTGGGACAGAGCGAGACAGAGCATGAACGGGGGAGGGGCAGAGAGAGAGGGAGACACAGAATCGGAAACAGGCTCCAGGCTCTGAGCCATCAGCCCAGAGCCTGACGCGGGGCTCGAACTCACGGACCGCGAGATCATGACCTGGCTGAAGTCGGACGCTTAACCGACTGCGCCACCCAGGCGCCCCTCCCCTATTTTCTTAATAGCTAAACTTCTTTGTTTTACTTTAAGAAAAATACTTGCTCTAGGTTTATAGTCTTATAGTCTATATATAGACTTAGTTTATAGTCTACCTTGGAATTATACTATGCTACTTTATATATATAGTAAGATTCTTAAAATTTACTTTCCTTTGTGTTATATTTGTTCTATAGTTTATCTCTGCATGTGTATAAACCCCACAATATATTATTACTTTTGCTTTAGATGGTCAATTATCTTTTATTTTTAGATGTTTATTTATTTATTTTGAGAGACAGCACAACCAGGGGAGGGTCAGAGGGAGAGAGAATCCCAAGCAGGCTCCATGCTGCCAGCACAGAGCCTGACGTGGGGCTCGATCTCATGAACTTTGAGATGGTTACCTGAGCCGAAATCAAGAGTCAGACATTTAACCCACTGAGCCACCCAGGTGCCCCACGATGGTCAATCGTCTTTTCAAGAAATTAATGAGAAAAGGGGGATTTTATATTTAGCCACATAGCCACATTTCCAACATTCTTCATTTCTTTGTATTTGATACACATTCCCCTCTGGTTTAAGAACTTTGACATTTCTTGTAGTGGAGATTTACTGATGATAATTTCCTTCAGCTTTTGTTTATCTGATACAGTCCTTTATTTGCCTGCAGTTTTTTAAAAAAAAATTTTTTTTGTTAACATTTATTTATTTTTGAGACAGAGAGAGACAGAGCATGAACAGGGGAGGGGCAGAGAGAGAGGGAGACACAGAATCTGAAACAGGCTCCAGGCTCTGAGCTGTCAGCACAGAGCCCGACCTGGGGCTCGAACTCACGGACCTGAGCCGAAGTCGGACGCTTAACCGACCAAGCCACCCATTGCCTGCAGTTTTTAAGGCTATGCTATTCTAGCTTCACAATTGTTTTTTTGCAGTACTTTTGCTCTGATATCACCTGGCTTATATTGTTTTGAATGAGAAGCCAGTAGTGATTCTTTTGTTTATTTGTAATGTGTCTTTATATTCTCTGACTTCTCTTTAAGATTTTATCTTTATTGCTGGTTTCCAATAACTTGATGTACTTGGTATAATTTTTTTTCCCCATTATATTTGAGATTTGTTGAACCTTTTAGATCTGTGGTTTCATTGATTTTTATCAAATTTGTGTATATTTTTGTCTGTCTCCTTAAGCTTTTTTCTTGATCTCCAATTAGACTTATTTTAAATCTTTTTATATGGTTATACAGATTCCCTTAGTCATTTTTATTCAGTCTTTTTTGTTTCTGTGCTTCAGTTTGAATAGTTGCTCTGTCTTCAAGTTTACTGATTTTTCACTGCTGCAGTTATTATATTTATAATATCTGGTCTGCTAATTTTATCATTTCTATTATTTCTGGGCCTAAGAATATTGAATCTTTTTAAACTTAAATATTTCTGTCTGTGGATCAAGTTGGGGTTTTTTTCTTCTTTTTTTTTTTTGAACTCTCTAAACTTTATAGAAAGTTTGCAGGAGTAGTCACAAATAATTTTGTTTTTCTTTAAAGCATTTGAGATTAATTTGCTGCTGTATGCTCCATTACCCTGAATGCTTTATAATGTGTATTTCTACCAAAAAATACATTCTGGTCACATAGCCATAGTGCAAACCATCAAATTAAAAAAGAACATTATTATTACCATATAAGTTTTATCACTTGTCCCTGAACTGTCTTTTATGACAGAATGATCTGGTCCATAATCATGTGTTATATTTATTTGTCATGTCTCTTAAGTCTTCTTCAATTGAAAACAGTTTCTCAGTCCTTCCTTTACTTTCATGACATTGACATTTTTGAACATTACAGGTCAGTTATTATGTAAAATATCTCTCAGTTTGGATTTTTCTGATATTTACTCATGCTTCGATTCAGATTTTTCATAGAAATAATGCTATGTTCTTCTCATTGCATCCTATCAAATGATACTTGATTTCAAATTGTCCCATTACTACTAACGTTAACTTTGATTATGATGGTGTCTGCCAAGCTTCTCCACTGTAAAATTACTGTTATCCCCATGAAGTTCATGTTACTTTGTGGATAGTTACATTGAGACTGTATATCTTGTTCCTTAACAAATATTTCATTTATTTTTATTAATTTATATCTTCATCGGCTCATGAATTTCCGTGCTATTCAGTGGATCAGCATTCATTTACCAACATTTGTGTTGATGTCTCCATTGTATCACTTTGGCCAGTAGGCTCTTTTAGCCTGGTATTTGTGTGCTTTTGGCAGTTTTACATCTCTCTGAGCACTTTCTTGCAGTAAGATTTCCAGACTCATTTTGTACTTTGCCTTTCCCAGCCTTGGAATCTGCCATTTCTTTAAGACGCCCTGATACCTTTTGGTGGAGAATTTGGAAACCAAGTTTTTAAAATTTAAAAGCCGGGCTCTGGGTGCCAGCTGTGCTTATTGCTATTGGGGTATGGCTGTTCTCAGGTTATCTCACAGAACAGAGCTCATGAATACACACACACACACACACACACACACACACACACCCCACACCCCCCACACACCACACACATTTTTTATCTATATTTAGCTAAGTATATTGAAAATCTTGAAATTATACTGATAATTCCAATGTCAGTTCAATATAGCAGAATTTATTCTTATTTTCTTTATTTATATGTTTATAACTCCTCTATTAATAGTGAGAAGCCTGGCTACTGTCATCCTTAATTATTTATTTAATCAGTCATTCCAAATAAAATTCCCCTGTATTACCTCTGCTGCTTTTCTTTCAGAACATTCATGTCCCTCACCCACTGACTCCCCAATGACATTTAACATTTTTGAATGTTAACATTTTTTCTTTCTTAAATATGTAAAATATCATATATTGTATGAAAAACAGTGGGCCTTCTTTTTTATTGCACACTATCTACTTTCTCATGGTGCATAGTCCTCACATCACAAGAAGTCATGGGGTATTAAAAACAAAAAACAAAACCCTGTTGTTCTGAGAACCACAACTGTTCCCTTCAGATACTAGTATGAAGTTTGTTCTATAATGCCAAATGTCCTTCTCAGCTATGGAAACTTTCTCTCAATGTGCTCATTTGAGTCAACTGGTAAGAGCATGTTTGGCCCTGCATTTTCAGTGTCTAGATGGCCAAGTCAAGTGAGAGCAGAGAGCTTGAGAGTGGCATTTGTATAGGCAACACACAGGAACTGTAAGATAATATCATGGATTACATGACTTCCATTCAATTCTTAGGAATTATCATGGAGTCATAAGAAGAGTAGCCCTGAGGTTTTGTTTCTTGTCACAGAGTGCCATTGATCTAGTGGACTGGGTTCCAAAATGACATGTAGACCTACTCGGAACCAGTCTCTGGTTAGACCTGGGAATACTTGGATGGTATCTCTTTGTTGGTCTCCCAAATTAGACTGTTCTATCTTCAGTGCCTAGCACTGTGCCTGATACAGAGTAAAAAAAGTATTCATTGATGAATGAATGAAAGACAGATGAAGAAGAGGTTAAACTATTTAGCCACAGCTTTTCCTTTGTACTGATGTCTAGTTTCTGGGACAGAATGGCTTTAATATTTGAGGCATAAATAACACCCAATGTAAATAAGTATGCTATAAAGGAACCAGCTTAATTAAGAGCAGATTTTTATTTTTTCCCTTTTTCCTCTTTTACGTATTTATTTTCTCTTTCATTGAAAGACATATATATGGTTGCATTTTTATAAGGACACTGAACAGTTGTTCTCTTTTCATGCAGGGGCCTGAATTAATGAATAAATATGTTGGTGAATCTGAAAGGGCTGTTAGAGAGGTAAGATGATAATGTCTTTGTGTATGGTTTCATTTTGTTTTGGGTTACTGATTCTGAAATTTCCAAATGAAAATTCTAGTGGTGTATTTTTTCTTCAGGCAAATATTATTTTATTATTTAAAAATACAATTTTGAGAGGCACCTGAGTGGCTCAGTGGTTAAGTGTCCAACTTCAGCTCAGGTTATGATCTCATGGTTCATGAGTTCGAGCCATGCTTCGGGCTGTGTGCTGACAACTCAGAGCCTGGAGCCTGCTTCAGGTTCTGTGTCTCCCTCTCTGCCCCTCCCCCACTTGTGCTCTGTCTCTCTCTCTCTCTCTCTGTAAAAAATAAATAAAAATGTTTTAAAAATTACAGTGTTGATAATCTACAATACTTTGTTTTTGTCTTTAAACATCATCATATTACCAGCCGTTAGTTTTACCAAATAAAGATTGTAACAACTGCCAGAATTTCACTAAAAACGAAAAAAAAAATGTACGTCTGTACTTATAAGGAATGCTTGATCTCAGAATGAGATTTAAATCCTTTAAATTATGTAGTCCTTTAAATGAAATGAGCTTAGTATAAAAAAATTTCACTTTACTCTCATTTTAATTGTTTTACCTTTGCCTAGTGATTTAGACAGTGCATTCCCCCTCTTCTAAGATTTACAGTTAGTGCTTGATCGTTTTAATTTATTTTTCTTGAGAGAGAGTAGGGGAGGGGCAGAGAGAATCCCAAGTAGGCTCCACACTGTTAGTGCAGAGCCTGACATGGGGCTTGATGTCACGAACTGTGAGATCATGATCTGAGCCAAAATCAAGAGTCATCTTAAACAACTGAGCCACCCAGGTGCCTCAAGCCAGCTCCTGATTGATAGGCTACTCATTCATATCGCGGAAGCTACACAACTGGTAAATTCATGCAAAATCAAGGCACTTGGACTTGGGTAACTACAGTAATTTGACCACAGGTTTTGGCTTGCTAAGCAGAGGTTAGTCTGCCTCACACAGACAGCCTGTATTCTTTCAGAAGCTAAGCAAGGACAAGAACACACAAACAGCAATGGAATGATGGTCTCCAGGAATGGAATGGATGGTCTCCATTTGTGAATACCTGGGTGCCAACCCAAGAGTATTAGAAATTAGAATACTTCATTTTTCATCTGAGAAAAAAAATTTAAGTTACTTTTGTCCTATTTTTTTATTTCTTTAAAATGTAGACAATGGCAGTTGTAGGAAAAAAGGAAATGTTTATTAATAATGTTACGATAACCGTTTTGAATTTTTATGGTCATGATCCTTGTGACCAGAAAATGGGGGTCTAGGTTACAGGAAACACACCTTTGGATTTCTTTCTGCCTGTGCTGATTTTTTCTAGGCCATTTCCATATGTTGCCCCCCCTCCCCCGCCATGGCTGTCTGGCCAGTCTCTAACGTTGATAGTCTGATTGACTTCTGATCTAATCAGTCTATGCTCTTTCAAGTTTTTTTTTTTTAATTTTTTAATTTTTAAAATTTACATCACATTAGTTAGCATATAGTGAAACAATTGATTTCAGGGAGTAGATTCCTTAATGTCCCTTACCCATTTAGCCCATCCCCCCTCCCACAGCTCTGGCTCTTCCAAGTTTTGATCATTTTTCTTGTCCTGGCTTTACATCAATCATTACTTTCCCATACTGTCTTCACAGAAATGAGCAAGGAATGTGGCTTTGGGGTTTATGGGTATTTTATATGCTAAGCTATAACTGATTTTACATGTTTATGGCTTTTCTTTTAAACATGTGTTTATGATAGTTAATAATAGCTGTCATTTACTGAGCTCTTACTATGTTCCAGGCACTGTGCTAAATGCTTTGCATTCTTTTTTCTTTAATTCAATTCTTCAAATAATTTTCTGAGGCAAGCATTTACCATTACCTCCACTTTATAGATGTGGAAATTGAAGTTTAGAGAAGTAAAGTTACCCGCTGAAGGTCATGATTGGGCTGGTTGACTTGTACATAATAGATTTAGTTCCTAACAGTTTTCAAACTAAAACCCAACTGCAGAGTTTCTGAAGTTTGCTAATCTTTAGTTAATGCGGTACTTTTTTCACCAGATCTTCCGAAAAGCGAGAGCAGTGGCTCCTTCCATTATTTTCTTTGATGAACTTGATGCCTTAGCAGTTGAAAGGGGCAGGTAAGAAATATTTAATAGGACTGCAATTAAATATCAGTGATTACATTGTAGAGGATATAGTATTTCCTATACAAATTTTATTTATCAATGTATTTGGCCTCCATAAAATAATTTTTAATTCATGTAAGTTTTTTCTTATATCCAACTATTTTATGTTCTCATTTTATAATACTTTCATATACGTTTTTTAGAAGTGTTTTTTAATGTTTGTTTATTTTGAGAGAGAGAGACAATGAGCGGGTGAGGGGCAGAGAGTGAGGGAGACACAGAATCCAAAGCAGGCTCCAGGCTCCAAGCTGTCAGCCCAAAGCTAGACATGGGACTTGAACTCATGGACCACAAGATCATGACCTGAGCTGAAGTCTGGCGCTTAACCAACTGATCAGCCAGGTGCCCCCATATACCTTTTTTTTTTTAAGTATTCATATCCATTTGGGGCATTTGAGTTAATTTTCATAGTTTATTATTTACAGATACCCCTGTTTACAGAGACCCCCCCCAGCACTGCCTATCAGAATTTTGGTTGTTATAAATGTATGATAAAAACTATAAGCAACACTCCATTAAAAATAATTATACAATACAGTAAAACCAATTATAATAAAAGATTTTAATACTCTCTAGATTAGATCATGTTTCCTAAAATATAGTTACAATAGAATAAAAATTAGTGTTAATAGTTTATTCCTGAATCTCAAGCAATAAAGATTATTTATATCATTTCAAATAATGTGTATATATGTATACAGATGTATGTACGTGTATGTGTGTGTATGTATAGGTGCATGCATGCACGTGCACTATTTGCAAGTATGATTTTTTTCCTCTACAAATGTTTACAGGTCCTTTTAAGGATTATGTGCTGTAAGTACTTCATGTAGAGAATGTTAATGTGTGTGCTTTGTGCATAGCTTCCTGATGTATATATTTATTAGAAAAGTTCTGCTGATGATAATTACAGTGATGGTAGAAGACACCTTGTAGGTCCCCAATATTAAAGTCTATAAGAGGCATTGGTGCTCTCTTCCTTCCTGAGGAGAGCTGCCTCATGAGATGAGTATAAACTGTCTTTAGGAGACTATTATAAGAGGTAGTCTGTCCTACTCTTCACTCTACCCATTCAATATCCTGCAATACCGACCAGTCTTTTTATTTTATGAGTTGAAGTACTTGAATTCTTTTATAACTTCTGAGATGAGACACGACAAAAGGTTACAAATAGCTCAAGTTCACCTTTAACTACAAGAGAAGAAAGAGAAGCCTGAGAAGTTTGCTGAAGTAGCATGACCTGCCACATATTTGTGACATCACAGACCTTTTTGGAGCCTAAAAAAGGAATAGGGTAGGATACATTGTTTAAATATGAACCGGATGGGAGGTAGAGTATGTAGCAGAGTTCTCATAAAATGCTTTTGAAATATAGTGGTGTGAGAAACCAGACAAGGCATTTGATAGAAAAATCCTGTTTTTGCAGGCAGTTTGGCCCAGTAGGAATTGGGTGCAAATATATTAAGAGATGCTAATGATTTACAGCCTCCAGATGTAATTTCCCCTACTAGTCTTCATCATGTTGTATATTTATACCTCCCTCCCTCAGTGGATTGTTCAAGCTAAATTCAAATAAATTCAATGCTGTTTCCTTTGTATAGAAAAATTTTTGGTCACATTTGTTGACATTTTAGAAAGCAGCAATGAGGCTGATAAGTAAACATAATGCTAATGGTCCACTGTAGAGATTTTTGGTTGTACCTTTAGTGCACTAAGTCTTCTATAGATTGTGTTTTATAGCCATAAGAATCTCAAAGAATGCTATCCTGTTTTCTTTTCTTTGTTTCTAAATTTTGTGATGGGCTAGCATTACCTAGAAAGTGATTGTTTTATCTAAGTAGAATGCTGGCACCTAAAAACTAAAACATACAAAGCCTACACATGTATGTTTTTGTTCTTCAGCTATTTGAATTGTACAGGTTCTAGAACTTTAAAATAAACAGCTATTGATAGATAACGGTATAAAATTCCGAAGGTACTAAACCAATTTTATGCATTGTTAGAGAAATAGAAAACATAGAAAAATTAAAAATTCCATAAACTAGGAGGCATTTCTACATAATATTGTGATATAGAATAGTTATTGCTTTCATTTGTTCAACAGTTTTATGTTTCCTGTGATAACATTCAAATCAAACCCATATGACTAGTTCAGAAATGATAGTACGTGAAAAACTTCTTCTTATCAAGATTTTAATTTCTAAACTTAAGATGTTTAACAAATTGAGCAGAGAATTGATGATATATGCTAGTCCTTATTATCCTGTTTGGTAAATCAATTATTTTGACTATTTGAAGTTACTCAAGTTAGCTATGAAACTGAGATTTGCCGCCAGCAAGCACATTGTAAATAGAGCATAGGTATATTGTTTGCTTAGCTTTAGAAATATTTGTGCTTGTAGAATGAGAGACTTTTCATGCTTATGTAGGTATCTAATGACAACCACTAGTTTCTCCTCCTCCCTGTCCCATTTAAGTTTCTTTGAGACTTGAAAAATAAATAAGCCTGATGCCTTTTTCTGTATGCCCATTTAAATTATGGATGTTCTGAATTCATACTGTGAGTTGGAGGAAATGTTATAAGATTCCTTTTACAAAGTGTTTTAGTGATCTGTATAAGATTTGGGAAAATTGAAAATGCTGTTAAGGTAGCAGAGTACTTTGGAAAATAGGTATTATGTCCAGCAGTAAAGCACTGAGGTAGAAAAGGGCTAATAATGATATTAGCTAGTATTCATTTAGTGCATATTATGTACTAGAAACTGTTCTAAGTGTTTTATAGGTAAAGAAAAAACTCACAGAAATGCCCCTGCATTAATGCAAGGTAGGATACTTTACATTTGGCAGTTGGCCCCACTACTCTGCCTCACCTCCCAGCTAGCTTAAAAATTTACCCTTTTCAAGGTTGTAGTGGAGAGGAGAGAACAAGCTGGGCAGTAAATCATCAGTCAGCCTTATCTGAGGCAGCACTCTGGTCCTCAGAAGTGAGTCCCCATATACTATATTCTCTTAGCCCAGTCTCCTCTGATGGAGGCAATGGCCACTGACTAACTGGGAGATGCCTAGAAGAAATTCCTCTGTCTGAGACATTCCATCTAGTTAGGGGATCCTGAATCTTCCTCATTAGATGACATTGATTGCCTGGGCAGAGCAGATATACTCTGAGCCACTTTTCGACTCGACTACCATACCATGGATTCCAGGATTCCAGGTGTAAGTAGTTAACTAACCTTTCAAACTTGTATTTATTGTGCATTTTCTCTGTGACTTACTTTAGTAATGACCCTGTTTGTCTAACTGAGCTATTGTTAGATTCCTTTGCAGGCATTCATTCATTCACTTGTTCTGTAAATATTGATTGAATGCTCATTCTGCAGCAGGCTTTATGTTGGGGATAAAACAGTGAACAGGGCCTAGGACAATTTCCTTAACCTCTCTATGCCTTTGTTTCTTCATTTGTAAAATGGAGATGGTAGTAGTAACAAATTTTAGGTTGTTAGAATGAAATACACGTAAAGGGCTTGACATAGTGCGTAGCATTTTAGTAAGTGCTTAAAAAACTTTAGTGTTTCTTATAATTTCTTCATAGATATAATAATAATACCTATTATTATTATTTCCATATAGATAGAAATATAGTAATAGACATAGAAATGGATCCTGTCCCAACAGAAATTACATTCTAGTGGGTGACACTGAAACACTTGGGAAATTAGAAAATGTGTTCTGTGATTGGCAGACACTATGGCATTTTGTCAGTCTAAGACGCCTTCAGTTGTAAGACAAATCATTATCATAGGTACTCAAGGAAAATGTAGCTTTAAACTGTGTTATGGTGCTGAGAAGTCAACAACTCCAAGAGACATTCTGACCTCAGACATTTTAAATATGAAAAAAGTTTGTATCTTAGAGATAGAAAAAAGATAGTATTGTTATTTGGGAGAAAGATGATCTGTTCTGGTTTATAAAAGCGGTGCTGTTAAATAAAAAATGTTCTGGATATTGTTTTATGAATAGAATATAAAAAAGTTTGTTAAATACATAGAAAAATGAAAAAGATGAAGTGCAAGTTAAAAGCCGACTGATGGAATAATATCTTCTGTGAGGTATTGGAGAATCTGTGATATTAATAACTACTTTCTTGTATACCTGTTATTGCGATTAATAGTCCAGAATTGGTACTTGCAGTGGTTTGGGAAAAAAGTAAGAAGTTCTGAGCCAGCTTTCATTGAAAGTGAAGGTTCCAGGCTTAGCAGCATTCTAAATTTTAAAATAACGGTCAGAAAATTGAAGAGCCTCCTTTACAGCATATCCAGATTTCAGGTGAATTCAGTGAATACATGACACTAAGCACTGTAGAGGAAATTTTTGCGCACTTCATTTCTCTAAGTGACATTCTCAATGAGGGTTATGCATTTTTCTAATGTGATATTTATGGTAGTTTTAAAATTTTCATAAAATCATAAAATTTTGTAGCTGAAAAAGTTCTTAGAAGTCATCTAGTGCAACTTTTATTCTTCAGAAGAACAGAAGCCCTTAGATGTTAAGAGAAGAGGCACATAACTCCTTTGTGGTCTAAACAAGACTAGAACTCATGTCTTATGATTCAGTGGTCTTTGAACTATACTGCTGCTGCCTCTTATACTGTCAGGATTTGAGACAAAAAGTGTGCTTGTATCATATCATATACACATGAGAATAAAGATTCTCATGTATCTAAATGTTTAAAGAATATTTCTTTGTGTTTGAGAAACTAACAATAACTGCTTATTAGTTTATTTATTTTTTAATTTTATTGAAGATTTATTATGAATTATAAATTTAATTTTATTAACATTTATTCATTTTTGAGAGACAGAGCATGAGTGGGGAAGGGGCATAGAGAGAAAGGGAGACACAGGATCTGAAGCAGGCTCCATGCTCTGAGCTGTCAGCCCAGAGCCCGACGTGGG